ACCTACTCTGTGGTTGACGCAGCGTTCAGTCCTGGGGACAAAAAAGACCTTGGTCTTAAGGAGTGGGCCCTGAGTTATAAAGGTAAACATCACACAAGCCATCACCACCGGTACAGAATCTCTGTTCCACAGGAAGAATGAGGCAGGGAGCCACGAGGCTCACGGGTATCGAGCTGCCCTCCTCTGGATCTCTACCTCCCAACTAGTGAGGGTTAGGAGGGGGGGTCGTTGGAGAAGATGAGCCAAGGAGTCTGGAAACTTCCTACTCAGCACCACCTTCCCTCCCTTCTGAATCCAGCTCCTTGAAAGAGCAGTTTCCACTCATTGCTCCCAGCTGCTTCTGCTACACTGGTGACCCCAGAGACACCATGCCATCATGTGTGTGGGGCCAGGGCCTCTGCTGTTGCGCAGCCCAGAGGGTGCACTTAGCATGTGGGAGCCCACATTTGCTCCCCTGAAATTACACACTTGGACACCCCCGTCCCCTGTGATCACCCAGAATTCACCACCTCCGTGTTCCTTCAACCTGTCTGAGCCCGAACTGCCGCTTCCTCCTTCTCAGTTTGGATGTCCTAACCTGCCACTTTCTGCCCACATGGCCACGGGAATCTGACCTTCCTCATCTAAGCAAACCCGTGGCCCTGCAGGTGACATCCCGGAGCCTCCAGCTTGGCCCGGGCCTGGGCCTCCAGGGCTATACCACCTGTTGTTTTCGTTGGCCTGTGGCTCCCCTGGGCAGGCGGAATATTTTTATTTCTGGTCCCCAAGTGTGAAAATTCACCCCACCACTGGTTTCCTGTTTTGTACCCGATCTGTTCAAATATCACTGCTTCTTGATCGTTTTTGATCACTAAGCAGTTTTTTTTATGTAATAATGATACTCCCATCTGTTCCCACTTTTGAGTCTCTCAGAGCCCTGAAGCCTAGAACGTGGTGTCCTGGACCAGCTCCAAGGTGACAGGGCCTGTCACCTGGCCCCTCATGCTGCCACCCACACAGGGCAGAGCCATGAGCACCGGAGGAGATGTCTAATCATGGCTTTGACCGTCTTGTAGGTTGTGCCTGAGATAGAAACCTCACCACCTATGTGCCCTTTCTCCAGAAGCATATCTGATCTCCAACAGAGTCAGATGTGGTGGAGGTGGTGGTGGTGCAGATTGTCAGATGTCACAGCACCTAAGTGTACCCAGGATGCCCCAGAGAGCCTGAGGAACCCTTCCATTGCCTTCATGACCCCTCCCTACCCACTGCCAGATCAAAACAAGGCACCTTGGAGAGCTCCTACTTCCTGTGCTGCCAGGAAGTACCTATCAACTAAAAAAGGGAGAGACTAATCTCCAGAGAGACTGTGGGGTCATCAGGAATATAGTGTAGAAGCTGAATTAATGGATGAGTGAATGGATGGATGGATGGATGGATGGATGGATGGATGAAATGGATGATGGGTGGATGGATGGATGGGTAATGGATGGATAAAATAACTAAGCTATGTAATTAAAATCAGAAGAGGCCAAGATCCACAGGTGTTGAAGAAGGTTCCCCGAAGAAGCGGAATTTGAGTTGCATGAAGAATGAGCATGCAAACCTGGGGGCCAGAGGAGGGGATAAAAATTGAAAGGAGAATGAGGAGGGGGTGAGTGAGAAACTTGGAGCTAAAGATGGAGCCTGGATCCTCAAACTCCTGCTTCTCATACCAGGGAACCCTGAAAGAGGTTAGAGATGGAAGAGAAAGAAGCATTTCCTAGAGGCCAAGGATCTCAGGATGGCAATGGGGACGGAGCCTAGGAGTGGGCGGCAAAGGATGGCAATGGGGGCGGAGCCTAGGGTGGGCGGCAAAGGATTATAAGGAAAGCACACCCTTGCCTGGTCTCCAGCCATCATTTCACAGCCCTGAGCCTCTGTTTTCTCATCCACCAGCTATGAGATTGAAGTGAGACTGTATTCCTGGATCCCAAATTCTGGGCCAACATGTGTCCAGCAAACACCAGCATCCACACACCCCGGCAGAGAGTAGTTGACTAGAAATGGGGCCAGGAGCCAGTGGCTCCACCTGTAGTCCTAGCTACTCAGGAGGCTGAGATCCGAGGACCCAAGTTCAAAGCCAGGCAGGCAGGAAAGTCCAAGAGACTCTCATTTCCAATTAACTACCAAAAAGCCAGAAGTAAAGCTGTGGCTCAAAGTAGTAGAGGGCCAAACTTGAGCAGAAGAACTGAATAGCACCCAGACCCTGAGTTCAAGCCCCAGGACAGACACACACACACACACACACACACACACACACACACACACACACACACACATACACACACAGAGGAAGTGGGAAAGAAAGAAGTGGTCTAGCCTTGGATCCTGGCTAGATCTCTTCTGGGTAGGAAGGTAGAACCCTAGACCCCTGGGGTCTAGAAGAACTGTAGCAGACACCTTTCAACTGCCACCTCTTAGAGTTAGGACTACACTCTGTGATTACATCTTTTGATCACCTACTAGGTCCCAGATTGATAAACAGGATACAGAGGTAAGTAAGGCAGAGTGGGAGCTGGGAGAAGCCTTCATCTAGATTTCCTAGTGCTGTAATCTGCAGTGACTCTGGCCATGCAGCTTCCCTGAGCTCAGGCTGTCTTTTGAGGCTGCAAACTGCTGAGGCTCCAGGCACCAGCCTCTGAACCTCTCCCTGTATAAAATGGTCCAACTATCTACCCCTGTGTCACTGCATGGCCACAGGACTCAAAATGCCCTAACATATGTGCCAATGCCCCACGCGCTGTGCAAGCAATCTATGTCCTCCCGGGCCACCCTTCAGGGCTGCACGGTGCGTTCGTTCCCTTCTACACAAGGGAGTTACCAAGCACACACCATGGGTGCTTTAGTGTGAGGAATGATGAGCGCTGCGGGATCTAACCTGGTTGGTGACAGGGCCAGGGAGGTCACGTGGCCATTGGGGTCCCCCGGATCCTGAAGTCCTTAGGAAAGCTAGGACTTGCGTCCTGCTCAGCTGTGGCTAGGGGAGGTGGGTGGAGCGCTCAGGCCTGGTGAGGACACCGGGAGGAACATGGAAGCAAGAGGACCCAGAAGGGCGGCCAGGCAGCTGCAGGCTTGGGGACGGCCTCCCGCATCACAGCACCAAAGGAACAGAGAAGGATAAAGAGGCCTGGCTCCGCCCTGGGTCCCGGCGGAGCTGACCTCCAGACCTGGGACCCTTCGCCATTTCTGAAGACCCTGGCATCTACCCTGCGGATCTGTCCACAGACACCCATGAGGGTTGGCGTGAGGGCCTGGCCTGAGAAGCTGGGAAGCAAGGAAAACAAGGGAGTGGCAGAAGGGACCGGGTACGCGTCAGAGAACCCCAAAAGAGGAAGCAGCTCGCTCTCACTTCCACTCCCCGCAGGGGAAATCCCCTCCCTTCTCCCGGCCTTCCACAGCTGTCCTGTGTCCTCCCTGCCCCCCACCCCTCCCCATGCCCAGGGCCGGGACCACCTGAGGCCCAGGCCCTGTGTCCCCAAGGCTGCTGGGTCCTGAGCAATGCAGGGGCCTCTGGGAGACCCTGTAGGCCTAGGATCCACACAGACCAGGGCACAGGGGAAAGTCTTATTGAGAAAGAGCACCCCAAGGATTAAAGAGGTGGGGTTTCAAGCTGGGATTTACATCTGGATACTCAGGAGGCTGAGATCTGAGAGTGAATCCATGAGACTCTGATCTCCAATTAACTACCAAAAAGCCAGAAGTAGAACTGTAGCAGAAGTGGTAACGTGCTAGCCTTGAGCAAAAAAGCTCAGGGACAGTGCCCAGGCTCTGAGTTCAAGCCTCAGGACCAGCACAAAAAAGAGGAGTGATGGGAGTTAAAGAAGAAAGCCACCACCAGGAGGGGTCCCAAACCACCTTGCCCACCTACCCAGGCAAGAAGACCTAGCTAATGACTCCAAACCCAGAGACGCAGCTCATCAAGTCTGAGCCTGGCTGTGTGGGAAGAATGCCCCCCCCCCCACTGCCCGCCTCCTGCATCCCTGAGCCCACAGCAAGAAAGAAATAGCATCATCAGGGCAGAGAGGACAGCCCTCCTCCTTCACCCCTGATCCGTCTGTCCTGAGGTGTGAGGCTAACAGAAGGCCCCCTCCTGCCCCCCCCTCCATCCACAGCTGCCCCAAGGATTGGGCCCCTTTGGGCGGATCCCCAGCAGGGTGCTTGGTAATTAAGCACCCACTCAGCTGCCCCCCAGGGCCAGCTCTGGAAGAAGGCGGGCCTCATCCGTCTGCTGTCTCTTCTCTGTGTCAGCCTTGCTCAGCCTTGCTTGCCTTCCTCTCCACTGACCACCAGTTTGGATCCCCTTTCTACCTCCCGGGGCAGGCTGTACCCCAGAAAGGGGATGCACAGGGAGACGGTGACCCACCCCAGCGCCAGAGCCTAAACAGGGATGAATTTCTAGACTATTCTCAGAACTATCCATCAACATTGGTAGTTCACAGTTTGGGAGGCATGGAGGAGGAGGGGCTGGGGGGGAGAGGGGCGCGGGCGGGCATGGAAAGCACCAGAACCAAGCACACAGGTAGGCAGGCAGGGCAAAGGCCATACCCAGTCTTCAAGAAAGTAGGCCTTAGTGCGAAGGTTAAAAATCACGTCTGGAATCGCCCCTACAGCACCCAACGCGCTAGCGAAGGTGTGGCTGTCTTTCCAGGTCCTGCTGACCGGAGGTCAGAGGTCGGCACACAGAGAGAACTTCCTGGGGGAGTCGTGGGGCTCGGCCACCTGAGCTGCGCCAGGCCTGGGCCACAGGCTCCGTCCTTCCCAAATGGAGGCCTTCTAGGGGAATGGCCACCTTGCAGGGTCCTGTGACAAAGCTGGGGAGCCCAGCCACACCCATCCCTAGAGGCTGACCGTCCCCCCTACCCCAGGCTGGTGTGGACCTCAGGGGAGGGCCCCTATTCTCCACGTTCAGGGGCCAGGTCAGGCCTGGGGGGCCCAGGAGCAGGGGAGCATCTCAGGAATGCTCGGGAGTTGCTGGCCCAGGAGCTGCTGGCCCAGGAGCCTCTTCCTAAAGAGAAGAAAGAGGGGAGGGGAAGGGAGGGAAGGGGAGAGGAGAGGAGAGGGGAGGAGAAGAGAGGAGAGGGGAAGAAAGGAGAGGGAAGGGGAGGAGAGGGGGAAGGGGAGGAGAGAGGAGGGAAGGGGAATTGAGGGGAGGGAAGGAGAAGGGAGGGGAGAAGGAAGGGGAAAGGGGAGGGGGGAGAAGGGAGGAGAGGGGAGGAAAGGAGAAGAGAGAGGGGAGGGGAAAGGGGGAAAGGGGGGAGAGGGGAGGAGAGGGGAGGGGAGGGAAGAGGGGGAAAGGGGAAGGGAGAGGGGAGGGGAAGGGGGAGAGGGGGGAGAGGGGAGGAGAGGGGAGGGGAGGGAAGAGGGGGAAAGGGGAAGGGAGAGGGGAGGGGAAGGGGGAGAGGGGGGAGAGGGGAGGAGAGGGGAGGGGAGAGGGGGAAAGGGGAAGGGAGAGGGGAGGGGAAAGAAGGGGGAAGAGGGAAGGAGAGGGGAGGGAAAGGAGGGGAGGGGAGGGGAGGAGAGGGGAGGGGAGGGGAGGGGGGGAGGGGAGGGGAAAGGGGGAAGAGGGGAGGAAGCAGGAGGGGAAAAGAGGAGAGGAGAGGAGAGGGGAGGGGAGGGGAGGGGAGGGGAGGAGAGGAGAGGGGAGGGGAGGGGAGGGGAGGAGAGGGGAGGGGAGGAGAGGAGAGGAGAGGAGCAGCATCAGGGGACAGTTCCTCCAAGCCATGCTGCCCAGGTAGTGCTTGGTGCAAGGTTCGAGGGCCTGGGTCCTCTTAGGACGTCTTTGTTGTTGTTGTTGTTTGGGGTGTTTTTTTTTTGTTTTTTGTTTTTTGCTGGTCCTGGGTGCTGTCCCTGAGCCTCTCTGCACTCAAGGCCAGTGCTCTACCATTCAAGCCACAGCGCACAACTTCCAGCTTTTTTGAGTGGTTTATTGGAGATCAGAGTCTCTCGGAGACTTTCCTGCCCAGGCTGGCTTTGAACGTGATCCTCAGATCTCGGCCTCCTGAGTAGTAGGACAGGTGTGAGCCGCCTGCACTTGGCATCTAGGGACCTTCGTTGGACACTAGACTTGTTCAGAAGCACTCCAGCCTTCCCACACCTCTCCCAGGCCCCCAAAGCTGAGCTAGGCTCCGCCTCAGCCTAGCCCATTGGAGAACTTCATGTAGCCGCCACCGCTGTCTGGACCTCCGATGTGGCCGCTGATGGTGAAGGGTGGTCCCACCTCCAAGTCCTTCAGGTTCCTGAGGAAGACCGGCCAATGACGCTCCTGCAGCTGGGGACCAGCCCCTACCCTGGTTCCCGGGACTAGACCCGCAGAAGCTACTCCAGGCTGTGAGGAGAATCAGGTCACAGCCCCACTGCCTTATCTTCCACAGCAGGCCATTCCTCAGGGCCAGAGGAAGAACAGAGCTGCCCTGTGGCAGAGATGTAGAGGAGCACTCACCCAAGAGGACCTCCTCATGCCGGATTCTCCCTCCCCTGACCTCCCCTGCTCAGTCCTCTTTTCACACCATTGGGTATCTGAGATGACATTATTTATAATCAGGCCCATCTCCAGCATAGCCAGCAAGATGTTTAGGGACAGAGACCATGCCCAGCCAGCCTCGTGCCCTTAGAAATAAATACCACAGCACTGGAGACAATCTTACTGAATAAATGATGGGTGGATGGATGGATGGGTGAATAAGTGGGTGGTGGGTGGATGGATGGATAGATAAGTGGATGGATGAGTGGCTGAGTGGATGGAAGAGTGGGTGGGTGGATGAGTGGCTAGGTGGATGGAAAAGTAAGTGGGTGGGTGGATGGAAGAGCCGGTGGGTGGATGAGTGGGTGGGTGGGCAAATGGAAGAGTGGGTGGGTGGATGGGTGGGTGGGTGGGCGGCTCTGTGTTGATTCTTTTGTCATCCTAAGTCCAGTACCCATCCCATCCAGATCTGCCCTAAATCTACTCACCGAATTTGGTACAAATTGAAGACAAAATTAGGCCCTGGAAAACAACCCAAGAAAAGTGTTAGTACCACCCCCAAAAGCTGCCATGGCCCTTTTAGAAACATCCGGTGTTCCCTTCCCCTTTCCAGAAGAGTGGCTGACTGAGAGGATCTCAGGAAGCGTTGGGGGCATCCCAGGGTCCTTCCCACTGGAAACCTTGGTCACCCCAAGAAGGAGGCAGCCACAGCCAAGAGCTTAAAAGAACCAGACCTAGGCTTGAGTCTGGGCTTTTTCCAACCTTGTGGCTTTAGCCTACTTCAGAAACAGAGGCGATGGCCAGGCATGGTGTGGCACACCTGCACTTCCAGCATCTAAAACAGGCCAGGAATTTGAGATCCACCTGAGCTACCATAGTGAGAACCTGTCTCAAAACAAACCAAGTAGAAAAAACAAACAAACAAACAACACTCGGGGCTACAATTCGTCCTGGGGTGGAATTTCCAAGATACTCGAATTAGGCAGAAGTACAGCGGTACTCAGCGCATGCGCCCACTCATGCGGGGCGTGTCTGCTGAAGTTCACTGAGGCTCTGCCCGTTCCCCCCAAGGAGCCTGTGAAGAAGACACTCACGCCTCTGGGTTAAGGGGACCACAGCCGATCCGTGGGGAGACCCCGGAAGCCAGAAAAGGTCCACGGCCCACAGACCGAGGTGGGGAGGGCTGAGAAAACAAACATGAACTGTCCAGAGTCTGGACGGTTCAGCCATGGCCTGGGTGTTGAGGGCCCCCGGGGGTTAGGAGGGAGGCAGGGACTGGAGGTCAGTGGGGTGAGAGGAGCCCCATTCTCTGGATAACCTCCCTTCCATACCCAAGCCACTTTAACTGCCCAGCCTCCCACTCCAGTCCCACTGTGGCCACTGCAGGAGAGATCTTTGCCTCCTGTGGGCTGAGAGGTTTGCAGCGCCACCCGCCTTGCCATCTGCGATGGGGGTGTGGGGAGAGGGGAATGCCCCGGACCCCAGACCCAGGGCTCACTCACCCTCCCAGCAGTACCCGCGCTGGTACCACTTGGCCAGACTGTAGCCGAGGATGGAGACCAGCAGCAGCGACAGCCCCACGCCGAGAATCAGGCCCAAGGTGCTAATGGAGTCCTCACCTGCAGAGACACCAGCATCCTGAGGCTGCTGTGACCTCCACCACCATGGCTCTTCCCCGAGCCCCATCAGCGCCCCAGAGGCACCATCGGAGGGCGCTAACTCAGCCCAGCCCCACCGGGATTGAGCCTCTGTGTGTGTGTGTGTGTGTGTGTGTGTGTGTGTGTGTGTGTGTGTGTGTGTGTGTGTCCCCTTCTGGGACTTGAACTCAGGGCCTGGCCACTGTCCCTCAGCTCTTCACCTCAAGGTGAGTGCTCTACCACTTTGGCCACAGCACCACTTCCGGTTTTCTGGTGGTTCATTGGACATAAGAGCCTCACAGACTTTCCTGCCCAGGCTCCTCAGATCTCAGTCTCCTGATTAGCTAGGATTACAGGTGTGAGCTACCAGTACTCAGTTGTCTCTCAGCTGTTTATTGTTGTTTTGTTGTATTTTTTCTCTCTCTCAAGGTTAGCACTCTACCACTTGAGCCATAGCTTTACTTCTGGCTTTTTAGTAATTAATTGGGTATAAGAGTCTTACAGACTTTACTGCCCAGGCTGGCTTTGAATCCTGATCCTCAGATCTCAGCCTCCTGAGGAGCTAGGATTACAACCACTGGGGCCAGCTCGGAGGCCTCCATTAACAGCTAGGAGCTGGGCCTCCTTCCTGAAGCCACAGGCATTCTACTTGATGGAGCAATCTCTTCCTGTTCAGGGAAGGAGGTCTAGCCTCAGCAGGAACATGGCAGCCAGAAGGGGCAGCCTCAGACCTACAAGAGCATAGAGCTGGCACCCCAGGATGCTGGAGCTGAACAAGGCCTCCTGTTTGTTAGTTTAAGTGTGTGTTTCTGCTCACTTTTCCCACCCAAACCTCACCCTGCGCTGTGGGGGGCGGGGGGGGGGGGGTTGTGGGGCCTGAACTCTGGGCCTGGGCGCTGTCCCTCAGCTCTTCAGCTCAAGGCTAGCGCTCTACCACTTGAGCCACAGTACCACTTCCAGCTTTTTCTGCTTATGTGGTGCTGAGGAATCGAACCCAGGGCCTCAGGCATGCAAGGCAAGCACTCTACCACTGAGCCACCTTCCCAGCCCCCCTGTGCAATAGATTTTTAAAATCTACCCTTCCATTTGGCTCCAAGTCCTTTAACAAGCATTTTTCCAAACTTGAGATTTGGAAGGTAACGGTTTTGTTTTTATTTAACTTCCTGACAATGTCCCTGTAAAAGCAATACAGGTAGTCACCCACACAAAGGCTCACTTCAGGTTTTGGTTAATGATCTCTTGATAAGAGAAGAGAGAGGGACCTTCCTTTCTCCCTTTCTCCAGAAGAGCTGCCTCAGGTGAAAGTGTACAAGCTTCAAGAGTCAATCACACAGCACGGAAGCCCCACAATGCTGGGGCCTGGGGCAAGGAAGGACCCACGTGAGGAGTTTGGGTGTTTATGCCAGGCAGATGGGCAGTGGGTGCTTGGCTCTAGCCTCTATTTAGTGTGCCCTTGAACCAGATCCTTAATCTTAAACAGAAATAACAGAAGTGTTGGCAATCAGTGGCTCGCGCTTGTAGCCTAGCTTCTCAGGACGCTGAGATCTGAGGATCCTGGTTCAAAGCCAGCCTGGGCAGGAAAAGTCCATGAGGCTTTTATCTCCAAAACACTGGAAGTATGGCTCAAGTGTCTTGAGCCATAATAATAAATAAATAAATACCAAACAAGAGCTGGAGTCCTGAATTCAAGCCCCTACTACCAACACACACACACTAAATATATAAATAAAAGATAGTAGGCGTTCAATGAGCAGAAAAGCAATAGAGAACATCAGCAAAACCAAAAATGGTTCTCTGAAAAGATTAACAAGATTGACAAACTGACCATTAACTAGATTAACCAAGATAAAAGAGAATACTCAAATGACTAGAATTGGAGATGAAAGGGGCAAAGTATTATTAAATGTACTATTGAATTTATTTAAAAGATGTAAAGGAATCCTAGCAACACTACACACGAACAAAATAGATAACTTAGATGAAGCGGGCAGTTCTTAGAAGCACACACACGACAAAATATGAATACGTAAGCAGGCTTAGGAAGAGTTTGAATTAGTAATTTAAAAACTACCCAGTGTTCCCCGGCTACTTGGAAGGCAGACACAGAAGGATAATTGTCAGAGGCCAGTCCAGTCAAAAGTTAACAAGACCCTATCTCAAAAACAAATCAGGTGTGATTCTCCACACTTGTAATCCTACCTACTTACGAAGTATTAGTAGGAGGATTGTGGTTTGAAGTCAATCCAGGCAAAGTTAGCTCCAGAGCCTATTTGAAAAATAGACTAAAAGCAAAAGGACCTGAGGGTGTGGCTCAAATGATAGAGTTTGTACGAGGCCCCAAGTTCAACCCTCAGTACAAAAAAAGAAAAAAGAGAAACTCAAACCTGGATACTCTTCACACTGAATTGATGTCTATCCTTCACCAACTCTTCCAAAAAGTAGAAAGGAAAGAATACCTCCCAAATCATCAAGTGTCACCCTAATAAAATAACTAGCCAAAGGAAATCACAAGGCAACACAAGATACTAGCAAACCAAATCGGGTAGCCTCTAGATAGAATTCTATACCTTAACCAAGTTTTCTCCCAGGGATGCAAGGTTGGTTTGATACTCTAAAGTCAAAGAATCTAATAATACACCATACTGATACAACTTCCAGAATCACAGGTACAGAGCTGGGGTGCCGTGGCTCCTATCTATAAACCATCTGTTCAGGAAGCTTTGATCTGGAGGAGTGTGGTTCAGGGCCAGCCTGGGCAGAAAAGTCTATGATACTCTATCTCCAATTAACCAGCAAAAAGCCAGACTGGAGGCATGGTTCAAGGGCTGGAGCACCAGACAAGCAAGCAGGCTCTAAGTTCAAAGCCTATCTCTGGGTCTTCATTTCCATGAAGGAGTGAGCGGCGGCTCTAACTCTTAGCTACAGGAATACTCACTATAGCAGTGTGAGATTGTGGAAAGAGACTTGGGGCCAGGCCATCTGGAGGTCAGCCAGCATTGTCACTTTGGACAAGATCAAGTTCCAACCCTATCCTATGTTGAAACAGAGATTAAACTATTAACTTCACAAGGTTATGGCCAAGATTAAGTGAGATGTGTGGGGTGTGTGTGTGTGTGTGTGTGTGTGTGTGTGTGTGTGTGTGTGTGTGTGTAAAGATTTGAGGAATTCTTGGCACATGGTAGAGATTCAATACATTACCTTTCTCCATTTTGAGTGGAATTTTCTTGAACAACAGAGGAGCGTTGGCAGCTTTTCACGAGCCATCTCAGCCCTTGAGCCTCAGGATAAAAACTGGCCTGGCGCTGAGCCACCTGGATCTGCAGCTGTCTACCTGCTGTGGTTCGAGAGGCTGCCTTTTGCAGCCCCGACAGGGAGTCCATGAGACTCTTATTGCGAATTAGCCAGCAAAAAGCCAGAAGTGGAGCTGTGGCTCAAGCGGTAGAGTGCCAGCCTTGAGTGGAAAAGCTTAGGAACAGTGCCCAGGCTGAACTCCAAACACAGGGTGTCCAGCCTTCCCCGGCTGCTCCAGACTCCAGCCACCCAGAGAGCAGTGCTGGCAGCCGCCTCCTCCTCCATGTCCTCCTCCCCCTCCCCTTCCTGAGAAACATTCTTGGTGCAGGTGCGCCCTCTAGTGGCTGTCATGCCTCATTACACACAGATGGGAGATCCAGTCCCATACTTCTTGACCCCCCAGAACCGGCCAATTTAGTCAAAGTGTAAGTGCTAGCTCCCATCTATGCATTGCATGGATGGAGCTAAAAGGATCCATCTCACCCTGGCCCCAAAGATCTCCACCTAACCCCTGTTCCCCTCCACACCCACTGCCTGGCCGTCCCTGGGCTTCCTGTCTCTGTCCTGACAGCAAAGTCCTGCCTGATCTGGCTTGCTGGGGACCCACCGGTGACTCCATTCCAACAGCCTTCATCCTCTGTGTCACATATTGCTGCCACCTCCAGCTGGACACAGAGGAGGCCACACTGTCCTGTCTCTGGGACATGCCTTCGACAGGCCACTCTACATGCTTCTAGATGTTTCCCTCAGTCTCCCCTAGCTCCTGAGGGCACCTGTTGAAGCAGAAGGCTGACCGGGGTGCCCCCTCTTCCTGGGTGCCCCTCTTGCTGTATGCCAGTCTCAGGTGATCAGGGTTCACTCCATGGAGGTGTTTGGAGAAGATTCCCGAACTACAGGTGAGAGGCGTCTGCTGAGGAGCAGGGCTTGGAATAGGAACCAAGCCCGATGCCCATCTGTTAGGTCATGAGGACATTCAGGATTTGAGGACACATCGGGGGTGGTAGAGGGGCAGAGCAGGTGAAGGGCTAAAAGCCCAGGGTCTGGCAGGGCACCCTCTCGGGCCACTCTGACTCCAAGGCTGGAGCCCAGTATGTCCTGCCTACAGGCCAGTCCACTCCATGACATGACCAAGACCCCAGCTCGGGGTTCCTGGGGAAAAGATGGAGGAGGCGTCCTTCTGCAGAAGAGAAGACAGCGTGTCAGAACACATACACACAACGCTCTGCAGAGAAGAGAAGCAAGAGTGTGGCCACCAGGGGGCGAAAGGAACAAGTCTCCACCAGAATCAGACTCTGGTGGGCCAGGCTGCTCGGCTGGTGCCCCTGGGAGGAGCTTCTGTCTAATTCACTAGCGCGTCCAGGTACCTGCAGGGTCCCTTAAGGAGCTGCGGGAGCCGGGCTGGGCGCCCTCCTGGCCATGAAGAAGTCATAACCGAGGAGGGGCCTGGAACTCTGTGTACCGGGGAAGCATCTTCCCGAGGTCCCCAGAAAATGGGATGAGGAGGTCAGGAGTGTGAAGAACACTATGACCTGGGAAATCTCTCTCTCTCTGGGAAAGCGAACCACCTTTCATACCCCACCTCAGAGAGCTTGAGAAGTCACCAGCAGCCACGGACGTTGGACATTGGCCGCCATGATTAAAAACACAAGCCAAGAGTGGGACTCCACTGCCAAGAGAAGCAAATGGCAGACGCTCGAGTGCCCTGGCGAGGTAGAGGGGCTCCAAGGTGGCTCACCTTCAACTCCGTGGTTACCTCACTGTGAAAGTAGTGCTGATTCCTCCCACCCAGCCCACCCCCAGCCCCAAGGAGACAAGGAACGCTGTTGGGAACTCCAGGTCAAGGACTTAGGGTGAGGCTGTCGGCTCTGGTGGCAAGGGCTGGCTAGAGACCCCAGGGTGCTCCTCCCCTAGAGGTGGAAGCTAGTACTGACTAATGATAAGTACTGAGAACAAATTGATTAGCATTTTTATCTCCCAGGCTTCGGCTTGGGAGAGGCTGGGAGCGAGTGGAGGCAGACAAACCGGCAGGCCCATCTATCTGTATGAGGCAAGAAGGAGGAGAATCTGGGTGTGGGACTGGGGTGGGGGCCCATCTGTGTGGGGCAAGGAGGAGGAGAATCTGGGTGTGGGATTGGGGTGGGGGTGGAAGATAGGGCAGTAGAGGCAATCAGGGCTGGGTCTGAGCCCCAGCTCCTAGCCATCAACCTAATTCCTGGCTCCCATACTAGCTTGCTTGGTCCTGGATTGGTGACCCAGACCCCCCTCCTCCATCCCTACCATCCGGGGCCTTTCTCTACCAACATGAGCCTACCAACAGGGTGCTAGGCAGGTGCTCTACCATTTGAGCCATGACTCCAACACTTTTTGCTTTATTTATTTTGTTGTCAATCATGGGGCTTGAACTCGGGGCCCAGGCACTGTCTCTGCTCAAGGCTAGTGTTCTACCAGTTTGAGCCACAGCACCACTTCCAATTTTCTAGTGGCTAGTTGGAGAGAAAGAGTCCCACAGACTTTCCTGTCCAGACTGGCTTTGAAGTCTGATCCTCAGATCTCAGCCTCCTGAGTAGCTAGGACAGGGGTGAGCCCCGCACCCAGCTTGCTTATTTTTCAAGTAACATCGCACAGTTCTTGCCTGGCCAGGCCTGAACCAAGATCCTCCTACCTATGGCTTCCTGTGCAGCTCAGAACTGTGTAGCCACCCTTTCCATAGCTTAACTCATGTCTTCTTTACGTTCAGTTGCCCACTTTCTCCTTATGCTTCTCATCTCTTTTCTGTCTCTTCTCTATCTCTCTCTTCCCCACTTATCTTCTTTTGAATCTTTGTTCCTATCTGTATTATTATTATTTATTATTATTAGCGTTTCAAGCTTGAGCTCAAGTTCTCATGTTACTCATGGCTGGTGCTCTGCCACCTGAGCCGTACCTCCAGTCCAGCTTTTTTGTGTTAACTGGCCGCCTTCGGAATCACCAGTGATACTAAACCCTCCCCTTCTCCAGGTCAAGACACCCCTCCCCCACCCCGTGGACTCCAGCCAAGCTCAGCCCGCAGCCCAGACAGCACAACCGAGAAACGACCAGATCCAGGGGAGTCCTTCCTGGTGAAACTGCGTCCCTGCCAGGTGTGGGGAGCCCCAGCAGCCCCCACCCCCACCCTCACCCCCTCCTGCGCCTTTCACTTCTCTTAGCTCTGACAACAATGAGGACACTCCCAGCCCCCTCGGGATTTCCCAATGGCTTCTTTGGCCTGAAGCCTCGCGGATGAGTGGCTGAATCCTCTCTCGACGGTGGCACCGAGGAGCAGAAAGAAATGGGTACCCACCCGTGGGGTGTGGGATGGGAGGTGTGGATGGACTGGGCCCCCTTGCTGCCCCTCTACTTGCTTTGTTCAAGAGCCATCATGACCACCACCTGCCCAGTCCTGCCCAAGACATCCCGGAAGCCTGGCGGGCAGGGAGCTCCGCCCAGTGCTCCCCGACTATCTGAAGACACCCATTCATCTTCCTCCCTAAACCCACAGCCCACCTCTGCTGGCCACCTTGGTAAAAATTAAAGTATTGCATTTTTCTGGCTAGCTTCCCTCCACACACACACCCGCCATTCCCTTAGTCACCAGCGCTGCCTCCGATGTGAACCTCTCTCTGCTCGCTCCTGGGTCCCCTGGGCTGGGACCTACCTCATTATCTCTTGCCTGCACTTCTGCCTTGGTCTCCACCATGCCCTCTACCCCAGTGTCTTACTCCACACAGTGCTAACAAACAAAACAGGAACAGGACACCTTCCTACATAGGTCGCTCTAGCTGGCTGCTGATTGCCTAGAGCTGGTTTTGGGCTTGAACTCTGGGCGAGCGCTCTACCACTTGAACCACAGCGCCACTTCCGGCTTTCTAGTGCTTAATTGGAGATAAGAGTCTCACAGACTTATCTGCCTGGGCTGGCTTTGAACTGAGACCCTCAGATCTCAGTCTCCTGTGTAGCTAGGATTATAGGTGTGAACCACTGGCGCCTGGCTCCCCAAACTTCTTTGAACCCTGCTGATGGGAAGAAATAAAAAAATCAGAGCCAGGCACTAGTGGTTCACACCTGCAATCCTAACTACTCAGGAGGCTGAGATCTGAGGATTGAGGTTCAAAGCCAGCTAGGGCAGACAAGTCTGAGAGACTCTTATCTCCAATTAACCAGTGAAAAGTTAGAATGGGAGCTGTGACTCATGTGGTAACACACCAGTCTTGGGTGGAAAAGCAAAGGGACGGCTCCCTGGCTCTGAGTTCAAGCCCCAGAAGCAGCAGACACAGGCAAAAGAATTCAGGCCTCGAACCTACTGCTCTGTGGCATTCTGGGTGGTGAGTGGACAGGGGAGGAGGGAGGGTGCTATCTGGGGTGTCTACCATGGCTGCCTGTGTGGATACTCACACTGCTTTGATCTCTGTGCTGCTCTCTGCAGGCCTCTAGGCTGGAGATGACAGCTACTTGGAAACCCCCCCCCCCCCCAGCCCCCCGGACTGGGGAAATAAGCTTTCGCTACCTGGCGGCGCGGCGTCTGGGTTTCTGTCTGTCCTGCACAAGCCAAGGGGCACCCTGGAGCCAGCAGCCTCCTCCCAAGCATTGCTGTCAGCACTCAGTCAAGCCAGAGGCACCAGCACTATCAATAAATCATCGTCGCAGCACAGGCCAAAGCCTGGACATCGACAACCTAAGATCTCTCCTCCAGCGGGGTCCCCACCCACTCCACCAGACTAAAACCACAGGGAGGACATTTCTCTTCCCTTTTCCTCTCTCTCTGCCTCCCTGGGGTCGTGCCTTTTCGTTCACACCTCAACCGTCCCAGCTGCCTCCTACCTGGCATCTGAGCCTTTCCCTACCTGACCGAGTTGTCTTCTGCATCAGGACACGGGCCTTCAATTAAATTTACATGGCCAACATGTAAGCACCTTTTGGGTGCCAAGCACTATGCTGATGCCACAGACAAAATGACAAGAGAGGTCTCTCCCGGGAAGTTCAGCACGGGAGCACCAGAAATACTTAAAAGGCTAGCTTCGCCATGTCTTAACACCCCCCACCAAAATGCATGTGCTGGAAATGGAATTGCCAATAAAACAGTATCAGGAAATAGGGTCTAATGAAAGGTGACTGGCCCGAGAAGACTGACAGAATGGATTAATGAATGCCATTGCCATGGGTCAAGCTCGCTCTCTCTCTCTCTCTCTCTCTCTTACCTTCCACCTCTTCCACCCTGCTATGATTTGACCATGAAATATCCCCCCACAGGTTCATGGCTTTGAATCCTTGGTCTCTAGCCAGTGAAACTATTTGTGGGGCATGGTAGACACTTTTGGAGGTGGGCCTTGCTTAAGTGGGTGGTTACTTCCTTAATCCCCTGCTTCCTGTCTTCCATGAGGAGAATCACCTCATCCATACTGTCTCAGTATCATAATGTGTTCCCAGAAGTCCAGAAACATGGAGCCAAGTGACCATGAACTGAAGCCTCAAAACAAAGCAAGCAAAAGTGAATCTTTTGCCCGGTGCTGGTGGCTCACGCCTGTAATCCTAGCTACTCAGGAGGCTGAGATCTGAGGATCACAGCTCTGAGCCAGCCCAGACAGGAAAGTGTGTGAAATCCTTATCACCAATTAACCACTAAAAGGGGGAAATGGAGCTGTGGCTCAAGTGTTGGAGCATTGGCTTGAGCAAAAAGCTCAGGGATAGCACCCAGGCCCTGAGTTCAAGTCCCAGGACCGATACAAAAACAAATAAATCTTTCTCCCTTGACATTGTTCATTCAGGTATTTTGGCCACAAAAATAAACAGGGAGAAATTAATACACTCCCTTTCCACCGTGGAAGTGTGGGACAAGAAGGCTCTCACCACGTGCTAGCTACCTGATGTTGGGATTCTCAACACAAAATGGACTAAGATAATCATTCATCTGGGACTTGAACAGGTTTGGCTGCTCTGTGGAGGAAAGGGATGGGCATGGGAGTGTGCAAGGAGACAGAGAAACACAGAGAAGCGTGAGACACAAGTGCTGCTGCAGGTGCTTCAGGAAGACGGCGCCACGGCTGGATGTGGACCATCTCACAAGCTGGGGCCGGACGTGTGCTGTCCAGTGCCAGCACAGCCTCGCTCTCCCCCCTCTCCAGGGGAGGGTCTGACCTGTCTCATGGGTGTTCCAGTGGCAGTATACCTACTGAAACTGGGCGTGCCAGACATTCCATTACTGTGGCCAAATACCTGAGATGAGCAACTCATATAAAGAGGGAAAAAGGTTTTATTTCCTCTTTTTTTTGGGGGGGGGAGAGTAGAGAGAGGAGAGGCTGGCTCCTAGTTCTAGAAGTTCCAATCCATAGCTGACTGGCCCCGTGGCTTTTGGGTCTGTGACAGAGCAGCACATTATGGCAGGAGCGCATGGAGGAGCAGAACGGCTTGCCTCATGGTGGCCAGGAAGCAGAGAAAGAGAAGCAGCCATGACCCCAACACCCCAACATGAACAGAAGACTGAGCCTCACTGCTTAAAACTTCTACCACCTCCCAACAGTGTCTCGGGCTGGAGGTCACTGGGCCTGTGGAGGGCACCTCTCCCCGCCACCACGCTGAGGATGGTTTTTCTCACCGTTCTGGAAACTAAGCTGTCCAAAAGCACACTGCCAGCCCCTGTGCTGAGGGCCTCCAGGCTGTGTCTCAGCAGGGCAGGAGGGCTGTGAGTATGTAAGAGAGACAGAGGAAGGATGCCACCCACGTGATCCTTTTGTTAAGAGCCCCTCCCATAGCAATGAACCCGATCCTAAGGTGTCATGAAGCCACTGCTACACTGCTGTACATGACCTGGGGGTGGGGACACATTCAGCCCATGGCAGGATCCTCGTTTCCCTCTTCTGGCTCCCAGCAGCCACAGAGGGTCCACGTCTGCCTCTGTCTTCACACAGTCATCTCCCTGCGTGCCTGTGCATCATCTTCCACCTTTGTGTGTTTGTCTCTGTGTTCCTTCTCTTCGTTTGGCCAGACCACACACATTAGATAAAGGGTTCGTGCCACTCCAGCCTAGCCAAATCCTCACCAATCACACCTTCAAGGACCTGATTCCCAAATCAGGTTACATTCTGAGGCTCTGGGTGGATGCAATCATGGCGACAACACTATTGGCCCAAGCCAGCACCCACCGTAACCCAGCAGAAGGATTGGTGCCAAGTTGCCAATAAAAGGCAGAGTGAACTACCATGAGAAGGAGCCTGGGACTGGTTCGTTCCAGGCCGAGGACTAGCAAACACTGGACAAGTCACTCCGTTTCTCTGAGCCTCTGCTCCACGATGCAGGGTTGTCATGAGAGTAAAATGTAAAAAGAGCTTCCTGCCAGGCAGCACTGTGCAGAGCCCTGAGGTCCCCTTCCCCGCGGACAGGCCTGCTCCCTCCACAGTGCTGGATAGGGCACTCACGCCCTGGCTGACTCGTTTCTAGACCCCTGGCTTCTGTGAGAATGTGCTCTGCATGTTACCCGGGCAGGACATTGGGTCCTGGATGACAAGGGGGACTGCCCTGATCTCCCCAGCAAACCTTTGCAAGTACCTGCAGCAGAAGGTCAAAGCTTGATCATCAGCTGACTCAGGGCTTCTCAACAGCACCCATAGGATGCGGGGCCTGGGGACTTGAGGGTGTTGTCTGGATGGAACTGCAGAGTGCCCAGAAACATGGGAGCTGGGCCTTTATGACGGGAGCACAGAACTGGACCAAACACAATCAAAGAATATCTGCAAAGCTAGGGGAGTTACAGATGCAGGCCGGGGCAGCCCGCACTGAGCAGGGCCACGGGCCGCCACGGGCCTTCCCGATTCTCCCAAGTCACAGACCCAAAAGAAGTCAGCTCCTTCTACTGTCAGCTGGGAAGACGCATCTGGAGTCAAGTACACATGCCTGCTGGTAAGGAAGCAACAGAGAACCAATGATGTGTGAAGAATGTATGACAGAAATACACAGCAATGAAAACGCCCACTGTGAGGGCGATGGCTCATTTGACCTGTGGCTATAATAAACATCTTTTTCACTTCACCGACGTTTATTTGGCACCACTGTGGCACTGACACTCTTATCTCCACATAACCACCAGAAAACCAGAAGCGAAGCTGTGGCT